ATACGATATGATTAATAAATATACGATTGATATCGTCGTTATTTACAAATTATTTTTTTCTAAAAATATTATTACTCGGGACTCAATTTACCTAACACGTTAAAGTTTTCCGGACTCAATTTACCTAGCCTCAATATCCACCCAATTATTTGGGACTCGGTTTACCACTCCCGGTCAACCATTAGGAATTCTAAATACATAATTTTGATAGCTTATATCTAAAGCCTTCCATAATCCTATGTCACTGACACAACAAATGACCTTGAACCCAATTTCATCTAACTTTTCAATTATGTCGAACAATATATTTTTGGTAATTTTTTTATCAAAGTCGATAAAAATGGGTTGTTTCCATTGTGATGAAATTCCTCGAGCCATTACCATTTGCATTTGGTTAAATGGACCAATAAATTCGTCATTCAATACATCATACTCTAATGTACTTGATATTTTAACTTTATCAAACATTAGAACGGTAAGTTTCTCATAATCTTTTAAATTATTTCCGTTAAGTTTCATAATTTTCAACACGTCATCAAGAATACTATTTCTCATTTCAAACGTTTTAGCCCATTGCTGAAGAATAAAAAAAAGTTTATTACCGGATAGAGGATACTGTAGTTCGTTTTTCACATAGATATATGATCTTTTACTGAGGTATCGTAATGCAGTGATGGGAAAGAACGCGTTCATTCCATATTGTGTGAACTTGACATGAACGAGTTCGATTTTCAAGAAATGAACTTTAAAGTGAACTAAGTTCTTATTAATTATGATTTTGAACGTTTTGGGTTCGTTCATTGATAATTTAATTTTCATACGATAACGTTTTGAAATGTTATGTAGCCGATCAGGTGCCTTCTCAAGAATCAAAAGATATAATTTGTTTTTAATTTTGTTTATTTTTAGTTTGGATATTTATGTTTGCTCTGAAATTACGACACCGTTGATCGCCGATATAATAGTAAGAATAGTATATCATTTATAGTATTGGTATATTATTATAGTTCTGTTGTAACTTGACATAATAAAATAAACTATAAAGTGTTATAAATAACATTCCCAAAACTCGTTCATACAAATTATTTTATGCTGTATACAGAGTGTTCCACAGATTACAGGGTGATTGGAAAATATAAAACTATTTTTATCACGCAATCAAAATTATTTTTAATTATGATTTTACTTTCGTTTATTACTCAACATTATATAATCCATGTCTACGACCACTACGAACCTAGTGGCGGTTAAATTCCAATACACACGAAACTGCAGTACTGCACGTTTTTGACTTTTGTGTCGCGACTCGCAGATTATAGGACATAAACTATCGGCTATTATTTATTAACTATTATTATTTATTTAGTATTCACCTATTGGCTATTTGGTTATTTATTTTATTTATTAAAATAATAAAATGTCTGACAATAATGATACTGTCGATATTGATGACCATACAGGAGTTGAACGTGATTTATTTCGTGGTTATTCAAAGTACTTCCATTTAAAATCGAAAAAAGTTAATTCGAATAATTCAGTCAATTTATATTTTGAATGTTTACTATGTAAGCCAAGTAGTAAACTTTATAGTGCATCAAAGACGTCTTTGACAAATTTAAAGAGACACATTGAGGTAATGAGGTATGTTTAAATAATATTTTAATATTTTAATATTTATCATTTTATTTAAAGTTAATTAACAATACACTTAGTAGGTACTGAAAGTATACTTCTTAATAACTATTATATTGTTAATTTTAATTACCTGTTTTTAATTAATATTATTTGATATTTCCATAGAAAATACACAAATACAAATACAAGACCTTTTTAGCTGATATTGAGGAAGCAAAAATAAAGAACAGTGATCACATAATTAATTCTAAAAAGCGCAGTATAGATGACTCTTCTACTTCTCAGCCTCAGTTAAAACAAATACACATTGACCGTTATGGATCTGGTAAGACCGCACCAATTACACAAAAAATTCTAGACAATGCTATAGTTAAATTTGTTGTTGATGAAATTCAACCTTTACAAATAGTTGATAAACCATCCTTTATAGAATTGGTACGTCTTGGGTTACCAAAAGATATAAAAATTATGTGTAAAAAAATTTTATCAATTAAAATTGAACAATCTATTTTGGATATGAAAAATGATCTGATAGAAAAGTTAAGCAAAGTGTCATATGTTGCAACTACAGCTGATGCCTGGTCTAATGGTAAAAGAAGTTATCTTGGTATTACTGTGCATTGGATTGATCCAAAAACTTTGTCACGTTGTAATGGAGCCCTTGCATGTACCCGTTTAAAAGGGCCTCATACTTATGATGTGCTAGCTCAGTTATTATTCAACACATATGTGTCTTTTAAAATACAAAATAAAGTTATGAGAACAACTACCGATAATGGTCGCAATTTTGTGAAAGCTTTCAATGTTTTTGGAGTTGATATAAACAACACAGATGTATGTAGCGATGAAGCAGATGATAGTGATACAGAATTTATTGAATTATTTGACATATTATCTACTTCAAATACATACATGAATGATGATGACTTTAACAATATACATCTGCCCCCACATTTTCGTTGTGCAAGTCATACGTTGGACTTGGTGGTCAGCAAAGATATTGAAACCTACTTTAACGATATAAAACATACCAACAAATTAGATAACCATTTTCTTAAATTAAAAAAACTATACAGGAAAGTATTAGCTAAGTGTCAAAAGGTATAGAATAAACAAAACCAATCTACTGGAGTAGCAGAATTTATAAAAGAACAATTCAATTTTTATTTGAAAACACCAGTAGAAACGAGATGGAACGCAAAATTTGATTCTCTACAACAAATTAATAATATTTTGAAAAATTCTCAAGGATTAATAAAAATGAATAAAATAATGGATCAATGTGAACTTGGCCGATTGGATTCTAATGATATACAACTAATTAATGAATATTGTGAAGTTATGGAACCAATTACTTCAACATTAGATTTTCTTCAAGGTGAAAAGGGAATGTACATGGGATTTTTTTTACCAACCATACATGCATTAGATAAGAAACTTGACCAGTTAGGAAAGAAAAAATTCATCATTATAACACCATTACTTGAAGCTCTTCATAAATGTTTTAAAAAAAGGTTTGAATTTAAATAAATCAAATAATAAATTTTATGATTATACATTTATACCTAATTACATAATTTAATTTTTTTTTACTTTTAGGTTTGACACAGTATAGATGGAAAAAAATTTGGTTATTGCTTACACCCATATTTCAAACTTAGTTGGCTTGAAGGAGACAATAAAAATCTTGCTGAAGTTTGGTTAAAATCAATTTTTGAATGTTTAAGTCGTCAGTCAGATTCAGAAATTGAAGTTGAAAGTAATGATGACAATTTTGAAAATAACTTTTTTTGTTTGCCTACTAATCATTTGGCCAATTCAATATCTACTGATCAACTGCAATTATACTTAAACAGTAACGATAAAGAACTGCAAAGTTTAATCAATTGGCCCATGGTTAGAGAGAAATTTATACAGTATAACTGTGGAATGCCATCAAGTGCACCGGTCGAGAGATTGTTCAGTACAGGAGGAAACACAATGACTGTCAAAAGACATAGACTATCAGATACAACATTTGAAAATCTTGTTTTACTGAAACAAAATAATAAAATAATGACCTGAGGGCTATAGCTGAAATTAAATATTACATAATATGTACAATTATTTGATAAAAGCTATTTTAAGTTATCACTTATCCTATTGCCTATTATTTATTAACTATTTATGTTATTACTCATTATTTTAAATTTAATTATGTTATATGTTTAACTATTATGTTTTACAGTTTACATTTACTAGCATAAAAAAAGTACTATTTTATTTTGTTATTTAAAAGACATAATTTATTTTTTGTTTGGATTTTAAAATAATATGTATTAAGTTTTCATTTCATCTTAGTATCTTACTAAACATGTACAATGTACAGTATATTTTATTGAACAATTATGAATAAATACTAAATAGTATTATAAAAATTTTTATATTTATTATTTATAACATTCTTTTAACTTTTTACATGTAGTTATAATTCTATTGCACATTTGCACTATACAAACATAAATGTGTTTTTAAACACATTTTCTTTG